ACCCTGTCTCGAAAAACAAAAAAAAAAAAAAAAAAAAAAAAAGGAAAGTAATTAGCATTAACTTCCTACATAAAAATCTGGAGAATTCTCACACTAGCAACTTAATAGCTCACCTGAAGGCTCTTGAAAAAAATTAACCACTGGGAAAAAGTGCCCCATGACTCATCTGCTGCCAGGGCTCTACACAAACTGTGGGCCCTTTGGAGTTGATTGCTCTCTTTCTAGGCCTAGCAGCCAAAGACCTACTGTAGTCTGTGTAGCAGCTGAAAACTAAATGTTATTCTGTAGAACAGGCAACAACTGTCCACTGCCAGCCACGTAGAGACCATAAGCACCTAGGGCAAGTAGTGGGTGAATCTCTGTCATTTTAATTGATACATAGGCCATTTAAAATATACCTCCTGCTATAATTTATCCTTCTCAGACCTCTGATGATATTGACTAACTGGCTTTAACAGCCTCAAGCATACCGGCTCCCCCTCCCCCAAGGCCATAGCTGCCTTCTCTCCCTGTGTAAAACTCAGGCCCCAGGCCCCATTTTCCTAGAGCTACTGTCTCCAGCTGAGAAGACAAACAATTTACCTTGCTCACACCCTGAAAAGAGATAAACTCAGAGAGGCTTTTAACCTGGAATCATTTTTGGGTTCCCAAGCTTTTACTACAACTCCAAGGCATGAGACTACTGCTCTTTCTGTAATGAGGATTTTAGTATAGATTACAAACAGTGGTAATGCTAACAGATCTAAGATTTTTATTTTTTTGTAAACTTAAAAATCATTGTAAGCTTCAAGGAGTCAACTTGGATCCAGATCAACCATATTCCAGATAAGTACTGTCAGTCAATAGCCTGGTTGCCCCACCTGCCTATTCCACCCATTGCTGAGGGTGGGTTCTTGTTCTTCCTCCCCTGGTCTTACGACTCCCCTCCTCCAACTACCAGGATGATGGACCTGGAAGTTTCAAGTGCACACCCAAGATAATTTTCCCCTAAACCCCTTAACTTTATCTTCTGTCTCTAGTTTATCTGTCCCAGCAGATTTCAAATCAACTGCAGACTGCTCCAGCTGCTCACCAGCCCCCAGAATCTGCATCCCAGACAGCTCCAAAGTGGTTAACCCCAACTAGCCCAGCATCACAGACTGATGCACTTCCCTAGCCCCAGATGGTGGCACATAGCCTGGACACCAAGTGAAACACATTGCACCTCTCTCCCTCTTCCTCCATCTCTTTCTCTCGGCCTTAGGCAGCATTCCAGCTTTTGTGGATCCCCATCAACAATGCCTCGAAGTCAGCAGAAAGTAGTCATAGCAAAGATTACATCACTCCTTATCTCGACAGTCCTTGCTATCAACAAAATGCTGAGATGTTAGGTCAAAAGGCTGATGTGTGTATTTAATATATCAAAACAGACCTAGTCACCAGGTTCTCCCAGCACCCCTCAGTCTCTGTCTGTTACAGGGTATGGCTGGCATACCCTGCCTCCTACCTTGAACTCTCCAGTCCAGAGGCTAGGTTGGCCTTCTCCTAGCTGCTCTTCTGTGTGTAATCCAGCATTCCGTTATGTAGTCCTTTTTACCTTTTACCCTTTTGGCCTCTTGGTCTCCTGGTTCTCCCCTCTTCCCTCCCCACTTTCCTTACATGGCCCAGCTCAGGGCCATGTTCACTCTGGACTTTCCCGGAGTCTCTGCCTCTGCCTATGCTCTCCCTCATGTGTACAATAAACTTTCTCCTCTACCATACTTAGGGGCAGTCCCATGCTCCGTTTTCTTTCTTTCATTCATTCAGGCACATGTGTGTATGTGAGGGTACAGGCATATAGAGGCCGCATATAGATGTCCAGAATTACCCTCCCCTGCTCTTCCACCGTACTCAACAAGTCAGGGTCTCTCAATCAATAAGGCTAGTGTTGCTGGTCTGTATGTTCTGTGAAGACTGGGATTACAGGCAGGCTACTTGGCATTTATGAGGCCTCTGGGGATTGAACTCTGATCCTCACACTTGTGCACTAAGCCCTTTACCCACCACACCATCTCCCCAGATCATGCCTGGCATTTTTACACAAGATTCTGGGGACTGGATTCAGGCCCTCATGCTTGGAGACAAGCTATCGTTCCGCCTCAGGGAAAGGTTTTCTTTACTCTTCTCAACTTCTTTTCTTCTTTCAGTCAATAAATACTTATTAAACCTTTACTAAACCAGGGCACATCTAGGGACAAAAAAGATCTGTTAGCATGAATAGCCTGGGGCTATGGATTCTCCCTCACAAAGCTCACATAAGATCCTGGGTTCTATTGCCAGTGACGTAAGACAAGGAGAGGGCAGTCTGGGTTCTGACTCAAGAAGATTAACTCTTACCAAGTGTGATTTAAAACTGAGGCAAATGCTAGAGGGGAAAGAAAGCAAGGGTGTGAAGTACCCTGTAGTTCTGGGCAGGCCCTTCTGAGGAAGTGACGTTTGAAGTGAGAGCTAAGTGGTGAAAGGAGCCAGCCAAGTGGAAAAGAGTTGTGTACGAGGGCCTGTGGTGGGGAGACGAGTAAGATAAATGAAGGCCAGATGGAGGAATGAATGGAGGATGTCGCCATTTCCTCCGGACATGAACTGGAGGGTTTTCTTATTCGTTTGTTTGTTTGTTTTAGTTGGATGAAAATCCTCTGTGGAATCTTGAGAAGCCTTGCTGGACGTGAGACAAGTGGGGGTCTGCCCACTGCTAGGAGTCTTTGCTTCCCAAGCCTCCTTCTTTCCCCTTGGCCCCTCAGCTCAATCAAGGGAAGTGAGGGCCCGCCACCTGTGGTGTCCCCTGAGGTTTGCTTGTGGCAAACAGGAAGTCACAGCCCAGTAGAGATAGGCCTGGGACTCAACTGAGAAAGCAGGTCTCTTGGGTCTTTAGTCTTTCCTCTGAGGGCTGTCATCGGTGAAAGGTGTGCACACATGCTTGGGCACACAGACACAGATACAGACACACACAGACACACAGACACACACCTCCCACATACACACAGGCACACGAAGAGACACACAGGCACATACACACAAGGCACACACAGAGGGGCACACACACACAAACACACACACACACACACACACACACACACACACACATGCATAGACACTGTACTACCTCTGTGTGACTTTAGACAATGCTCTTCCAGTCTTGAGGCCTAACCCCAATGTCTATGAGTCTCTCTGCTACTGAAGCAGGGCTTACCTGGAGAATACAGGGATCTTCGTAAGAAGCCATTTCTAAAGACTACTGCGAAGCACGAGGCTCTTGCTCTCCATACACTGTCTAGCCCCTCCCAGCCCTGACTGCCATGTCCCCAGAACAGTTTCCAGTCTGCTCTCTCACTAACCTGCTCAGAGATGAGGAAATCTAACCATGGGTTTCCATGCCGCTGAATAGGCGCCACTCTCAGCCATAAATGATGGCTCTCAGCAGGGATTAAATCTAGTGTCTTGTAAACTAGGCCCAAAAAGCCAC